TTAGGAGTTGATAGTGGAACCCTTCATTCCTGTGGATTCATTACAACAGATGAGGATGGCTAATTTCAATCTGAATATAAAGGACCTGGGAATGGCTGTCTACACAGAAAGGATCAGAGGTGAACAATGCTCGTGGAGGAATCTTAGAAGCAGCCAGTTCCGGGGCGAAGGGTTGGCTAGAATGACTTTTGTTTCTCTGGCCCACACTACAAACTTTGGTTGGCACAAGATACGTTGGCATACAGCTGCCAAAGTTTGTACATCACTCGGGCATGTGCATACTTGACTGCTTGTATGTCAATGCAAGGTGCGGTGCACTTCAGGTAGATAACTCTATGTGGCATGCACTGCCATCTGGCACAATGTCTTTGGGGAAATTTTTGCTACATATTGTGAAAAATAGAAATGACTTTCCCAGGGATCTTTTGGCGTGTGGACTCAAGTTTCCAGCATGCAACTTTCTCCATCCCATACTGCTACACATATACCATAATTTTGTGCCATTTTTTGAAAATCCCACAAATCTGCATGGCATTTTTTGGTGCCCACCATCTCTGACAGAAGCCTGGAATCCATGCAGCTCTGCACTACCCTCATGGTCGTTGCAAATACAGGATGAATGATTCTCCTGTACAGGACCGGCTCCAGGGTTTTTGCCGCCCCAAGCGGCGAAAAAAAAAAAAAAAAAGCCGCGATCGTGATTGGCGGCAGCTCCACCCCACCGCTTTCTTCTTCGGCAGCAATTTGGCGGCAGGTCCTTCCCTCCGAGAGGGACAGGGACCCTCCACTGAATTGCCGCCGAAGAGCCCGATGTGTCGCCCCTTCCCCTTGGCCGCCCCAAGCACCTGCTTGCTCAGCTGGTGCCTGGAGCCGGCCCTGCTCCTGTAGTATTTGCAGACACACAGGAAGTATTACAACAATGAGGACATGACAATTTCTTCAAAGACAGTTTGCAAAGGGACATAGCAAAAAACGATTCAAGGCTTTTGGTGTTCATTAAGCAACTGCAGATGGTGGAGCGCTGCTTCTGGCCCAAAGAAATGGGCACTGACTGGTGGGATTGTCTCAGAATGGAGTGATGAGCGGTGGCTGCAGAACTTTTGGATGTGAAAGGCCACATTCCTGGATCTCTGTGCTGAGTTCACACCAGCCCTTCAGCTCAGGGACACCCTAATGAGAGCTGCATTGGCAGTGGAAAAGCAAGTGGTGATCACATTCTGGAAGTCTGCAATGCCAGATTGTTACTGGCCAGTGGGAAATAATTTTGGAGCTGGAAAATCCATAGTAGGGACTGTTATCATGCAAACATGTAGCGTCATTAATTGTCTCCTGCCACACATCACTGTAACTCTTGGCAGTATTACCTGAGGGCATTCTGTGCCAAAAAAATTAAAATTCTGCGCACAATATTTTAAAATTCTGCAAAATTCTGCAAATTGTATTTGTCAAATAAATGTGGATGCTCCAGCATGGCATTGAGGAGCACAGGCCACTAGCTGCACAGAGGTGGGACATCACTGTTCAGCTCCCCCACCCCCCAGGACATGGACTCAGCGGTGAGGCTGCACCCAACCCTGACACAGTGCAATGATGGGGCCTGCCCCAGAAACACCCCAGGGCCCTGACACTCCATGTCAGGTGCACCAGGTATGCTCAGCAAGACAGGATCCAAGTGTGGAGGGGCTTAGTGTGGGGGGGAATCCAGGTGTGGGTTGAGAGGGTTCTGTGTGGGGCAATTTGGGTGAAGGCAGCTCAGTGTGGGATCTGGGTACAGAGGGGCTTGTTGGAGGGTTCTGGGTGCAATAGTAATGGGACTCTGCAGGGAGGTCCAGGTGAAGGTGGGTGGGTCTCAGAATGGGGGATAGAGCTCAGCAGGGGGGTCTGGGTGTGTAGGGCTAAATAGTGGGTCCAGATACTGGGGAAGTGGTGCTCAGTGGGGTGGGGATCCAGGTGCAAGTGGTTGGGGCTAGGTAGGGTGGGGATCTGGGTATGGGTGGTTCATCAGGGTGGTCCAGGTGCTGGGGGAGTGGGGCTTATTGGGGAGGTTCTGAGTGCAGGGGGATGAGGCTTGGCAGGACGGTCTGGATATGAGGGAGTCTGGATGCACGGGGGTTGGGCAGATGGGGGAGTAGCTCCCTGTACAGGGATCCTTCCCCCTGCAGCTGAGGAGTGATGGGCACAGGAAGAGTGGGTGTGGGTGTCTGCAGAGCTTCCTGAAGCCAGGGGAGAAGTCTGGGGGTAGGTCTGACCCGGCACCAGATGCTGTGCAGGGGAAGAGGAAATCCTGTTCTCCCCAGCCCAGCCCGGCATGTGGTAGGAGCCACCAGCTGGGTCTTCCCCAGTTCTGCCTTCTGTCCCACAGTGATTTACCTCTCTGCTTGCTGCCTTGGACACACAAAACATACTTCTGGGGAGGGTCGCATGACCACTCTTGTGGCTTCCCTTTGCTTCCCGATCAGAAAGTCATTTTTCTGCAGGGAAGCAAAGAAATCTGCAGGGGACATAAATTCTGCAAATGCGCAGTGGCGCAGAATTCTCCCAGGAGTGCAGTATGCAGGACACAGTGGATGGAAGTGCATCTATGGAGTTCCAAAACTGTGGTGGAGTGATAAACAGCACACATATCCCTGTTTTGGCACCAGCCCACCTTACCACAGAGAACATCAACAGAACAGGCTATTTTTCTATGCTTATGCAAGCAGGTATGGATCACCAAAGATGCTTCACTGATATCACTGTGGGCTGGCCAGGGAAGGTGTATGATGCTAATTTCTTTGCTCTGAGTAGAGCAGAAGATAAACTGACAATCAAGTTAAATTATTCAAAACCATGTAGCAATTTACAGTGTGGATAAATATTAACCAAGCACTAGGTTAAAACCAACATAGTGATTTCATATATGGCCACAATTAAACCTGAACTCTCTGGCTCCCAGAGAGTCACCCAGATAGCAATGGAAAGGCAAATGTGTAAGATATTGCTCCATGATCACATAACAAATGAGGAGATCAGAAGGCACAGAGGTGACCGATATAGTGCAGGCGATGTACGATGCAAAGCAGAGATGTGTGGGTCATGTCGTTCGCAGGCAAAAGAATAGGTCAGTGGTGGGCAACCTGCAGCCTGTCAGGGTAATCTGCTGCTGGGCCACCAGACAGTTTGTTTAATTTTGCATGGCTACCCACGGCTCCCAGTGGCCGTGGTTTGCCGTTCCTGGCCAATGGGAGCTGCAGGATGCGGCGGCCAGCATGTCCGTGCGGCCTGCGGCACTTCCCGCAGCTCCCATTGGCCGGGAACGGTGAACCGCAAATGCAAATGTAAACAAACTGTCTGGCAGCCTGCCAGCAGATTACCCTGATGGGCCACTGGTTGCCCACCACTGCAATAGGTGAACAAACTGCATCAGTGACTAGATACCTAGAGACCACAAGCGACCACCGAGCAGACCGAAAATGAGCTGGGCGGATCCCATGACAAAACTCTTTGACCAGAAATGGAAAGAACGTGCTTGCAACAAAACAAATGGTGTGGCATCGACTTGCGTTCGTGGAGGGACGGCTGAGGACAAGTCAGACAAAGGCGGACAAATCTTAACTCACATCTCCAGAGTTGAAAGTTTATGACTCTGCAATGTGGTTCTCACATACAAACTTCCATTCCTGAACTAAAACACCGATGACCTACCTCCACACCATCCTACACAAACTACACAAAATGAAGAAAGAAGGCATTTTTGGCACAAAAATCAGCTCATCCACAGACATGAAAACTCAAGGAAGCAGACACTTGATAAAGGAATCCAAAATGCCTTCCCAGAAAAATGTAAGACCCCACAAGTCTAGAACCCAGTCCTGCAGAACTGCCAGGCTGCTTACAGTTCCATACTGTCAACCAGCAAAAGCTGTGACCAGTTTGTGAACCATGTGGACACAGACCCATGGAAAGTCCCACCCCAAAGTGGCTGACAGGCAGCAGCCTGGTGGCTCCTGATTGCCTTCACACCCTATATAAATCTAAGAGGCATTCCAGGAAGTGTCCAGGCAACAGTGTGGATCTTCTGTAGCAGCCATGTACATTTCTTTTCCCTGCTCCTGAACTCCTGGCTTCAACCTTGGCTTGAGTTGGACTTCGCGCCTCCTGAACCAGAGCCTGAAACCTGACTACAAACTCCTCCACTACTAGCCTCAGATTTGCCCCTGATCTGATCTGGGTCCCCATTGCCCTTGTTGGGATCCTGACAATATAATTGCATCAGACAAATCATAACTAGTAGCAAAATAAACAGCAGCTCTTATTAAGAAGCTCTCATATAATACTTCATCAGTGGATCTTTAAGCACTTTACAAATAGGAACATCATTATTGCCATTTTACAGATTGGAAAAGAAAGACACAGAGAGATGAGGTAAAGTTAAATGCTCAAGTTCTCACAGCCAGTCACTGGCAGAATAAGGACTAAATATCGTAAAAGAAGCACAAAATAAGCTATTTTCTTTTGTAAGGCTGTGCCTTCATGCAGCAGAAATTGAAATATAAGTAGTGTGCAGCATCAGCACTTAATGCATAAGAATGGTTAATAAAATTACAATTTATGTGACCTTAAATTGAAATGTGATGGTGTCATTTTTTCAAACCATTCCTTTAAGTATTTATTCCAGCCTTTTGGGGATCATAAAGAATTAAATGTTTACTCATTTATGAAGTATTCTCAGATCTATTCCTGTAAGTAATAAATCTATGAGCAAGCACATAACTGTGTAATTGCATGCAATTGCAAAGCAATTACAATAGTGATACACTGTACATTTTAAATGGGAACAAGTTACTGCTATAAAAAGGCAACAGCTTTACATAAATTGTAAGTGAGGGATAGGACAAACTACAAAGAAAACAAAGATATTGCTATTGTGCTCCTGCATCCTACTGGAAGACCTCTAAAGGTTACTGAGGTATTGTATAACAGAGAAAACGATGTTATCGACTGCAAAGTTTTACTCTTACCTTTACTCTCACAGTGACAGTAGCAAGTCCTGGAGGCATAGTTCCTCCACTATCAAAGGCTTCCACTAGAAAGGTGAAGGTTGCCTCTGTGCCAGAAAATGACTCATAATCCAAGGATTTAAAAAGTGATAATTCTCCTGTGAATTTGTTCAATGAAAAAAACGGCAATGCTTCCTGGGTTCGTATCCGATAGGTAACATTTGAACCAAGGTCAATATCCTTTGCCTACAGCAAAAGAGAATTTACTTGAAAACTAAAACTGAAGAGTCACAAGGAAAAACACCAGCTCACAATTTTTACAGGTCATACATTTGATTTATTTGATATTACTAAGAACATTTGCTTTCTTCGGTGCAATTCATATATTTTTTTTCATAATTTTAATTGTTAATTTTAACAAGATATATTTTTAGTAGGCTTGAGGAAACCAACTTTTTTTCAAAACCAACTCTGCTAGTCAACAGATGCTGCTTTTAAGATATGTTCTACTTGCCTAATTAAGAGATTTGGATTAAAATTTTGGAAGGACATTTGAACTCTTTGGGGCTAAAATAAACTGGCAATATCCATATAGTAGAGCCTCACTGGAGAATGCAAATGTATTTTAGTAATATAATTGACATTTAAAAAAATCTACATGTAAAGTATTTCAATAGTATTCTACTTACGTTTTGATTTTCCATCATTGCTTTTATTAATTAGTAGAAATGTAAGCTCTATGCTTCTAATATTTTTCACTTGCCTGTCCTATGCCAAATATCACATTTTCACAAAGAGAAAAAGGCTTTAAGGAGGTTTGGGTATCACTTCTCCCCTCACATTTTTAATCTCTTATTTTGGTTTTAATGGCAACCAGTTAGATGAGAACAGCCTCACACAATAAGATTAACAAAACATTTTCTTTGATCCAGAGTGCCTTACCTCTATTCGCAGGAAGACTGTGCCGGGTGGTAGATTTTCTGGAACACAGACAGTGTAGGAGGCATTAGTGAACATAGGGCTGTTGTCATCAATATCCAGAACTTTGATTGCCAGAGTTAATGTTGAACGGCGGGGGTCCACAGCTCCATCTGTTGCTTCAACAGTAAGTTCATAATAGTCCCTTGTTTCTCTGTTCAGTTTAACTGCTGTGTAAATGCTACCATTTGATGTGATGCGGAAAATATTGTTGAAGTTTACCAAGCTGTAATGTACTTGGCCATTTACTGCAGCATCTGGGTCTGTAGCCTAAAAGAAAAGAAAAAAGCCATATTGTTTTAAAATACATTTGAAAGGTATGTGGATTAGATTCAGACATGATCAGAGAGCCTTTTATTCGACTTTCTAATATAAAAGAATCCAAAGGACATTGAAGTCAGTGGAAGTCGTTCCATTGATGTCAGTGGTTTGTGGACGAGCTTCAAGTTTCCACTTACACCTGACATGAAAAATTTCATATTGTTACTTTCTATATAGTATTAATTTAGTTTATGAAAACTGTTGGAATAAGTATGGAAGGGATTATCTGGGAAAGTGGGGAAGCTTAGATTTGCCCATGTATATTACATCAAAGCTTGTGATTGTTGTTAAACTTTCTTCATTGGGTCTGATGACTTCTTAATTCTTTTGAACAACACATGTAACAGGCCTTGTTTCACTAGTCACAATGAGTTATTTACAATCAACACTTTCAACATATTACATAAAGATCTAAATTTAGCACCTCTTGTCCTCTTCAACATACTTCTGAGCAAAAAATGTTACTGTTGAAAACTAATTATTTTTGAATACTATTCCTTAGATGCAGCTTTGCAAAATCATGGCATTTACCAGCCGTGGCAAAAATTCTATTAACTTGTTGTAGCAGACAATATTGATGATATGTTTGACCATGGTATAGTACAATTAAACACAAAAAATACATTTTAAAAGGCATTTAAGTTATAGCATTAATCAAAAGAGAGCGGAAGGGCGTATCTAAGTTGCCATAATGCCTTTAACTCAGCCCCTCTTTACCTAGATGTTGCTGCAACCACAAGAGAATGTGTGGACTGTATTGCAAGTCTCTGACTTCAGTTACTGTTAAGGGAATTCACATGCTCAAACTGAGGAAAGAGCATATCAGCCAGACTCTTACCCCATGCTTGCAACTCTTTGAAGCAGTCCACTGGAGCAATGGAGCCATAATGCCTTAGGATTTTCCCAGCTGAGAATTCCTCCAATATGGGGGAGTCCCAATTTGATGTAGAACTGGAATAGCCACATCCTATGCAACCCATCTTCAAGCACCGAGTGTAGAGACATAGCAAGATACTGCTGTGTTGTCGTGATCTCTGACGGACATAACTGCTCTTAATGGCAATGTACTGAATGCTCTAAACTATACCAAGTACTAGGCCAATGAAAAATTGACCTCTGGATCAGAGCCTCTGAGATTTCCCTGCCTTAGCAATGCCCAATAGCACAACTAAGGCCTGGTCTACACTAGGCTTTTATGTCGACTTTAGCGCCGTTATATCGAATTAACCCTGCACCCGTCCACACCAGGAAGCCATTTAGTTCGACAGAAAGCTCTCTTTAAATCGATTTCTGTAATCCTCCCCAACGAGAGGAGTAGCGCTAAATTCGACATGGCCATATCGAATTAGGCTAGGTGTGGATGGAAATCGACGGTAATAGCTCCGGGAGCTATCCCACAGTGCACCACTCTGTTGACGCTCTGGACAGCAGTCCGAGCTCGGATGCTCTGACCAGCCACACCCCCGGGAAAATTTGAATTCATTTTCATTTTCCTGTCAGGGCAGTTTGAATCTCAGTTCCTCTTTGGACATCGAGGGGAGCTCAGCAGCAGTGGCAACTATGCAGAGCTCTCCAGCAGAGATGGCCGTGCAATCCAATAGAAAGAGGGCCCCAGCATGGACTGATCGGGAAGTCTTGGATCTCATCGCAGTGTGGGGCGATGAGTCCGTGCTTTCAGAGCTGCGCTCCAAAAGAAGGAATGCTAAGATCTACGAGAAGATCTCCAAAGCCATGGCAGAGAGAGGCTACAGCCGGGATGCAACGCAGTGCCGCGTGAAAATCAAGGAGCTGAGACAAGGCTACCAAAAAACCAAAGAGGCTAACGGACGCTCCGGATCCCAGCCCCACACATCCCGTTTCTACGAGGCACTGCATTCCATCCTGGGAGCGGCCGCCACCACTACCCCACCCCTGACCGTGGACTCCGAGGATGGGATCATGTCGGACATGACAGCGGACGGGGAAGATGAAGAAGGAGATGAGGAGGACGAGGCAGTCGACAGCGCTGGCACCGCTGATTTCCCCGACAGCCAGGAGCTCTTCATCACCCTTACCGAGATCCCCTACCAACCGTCCCCATCCCTTACCCCGGACACAGAATCAGGGGACGGATCAAGCAGTAAGTGCTGTAAACATGTAAACATTTATTTAAAACAGAACGGTAATATTTATACTATTAACAATGTATATTTATAAAAGTGCTGTAAACTAGTAAAAAAATAATCAGGTACAAAACAGGAATATTTACAAAGGTAACAAATGGGTTTTGCATGATTTCTCTGTCTTAGGCTCTTCTCAATTTAGTCCCAAGTATTTTAAAAAAATTTCACAATGTCCGTTACTACATGATTCCCAGGCCCAAGACGCTCCACTCCAAAGTCTCAGTGCACCTACGCGAAAATCCGGTCAATGTGGCCGGGGATCGACGAGAAATCCTCGTAGGAGAACTCCTCGTAGGTCTCGTGGAGGTAGAGCTCAAGCCTGTTGATCAGGTTCCGGGGTAGGGCGATCTTAGTGGGCCCTCCGTGGTAGCAGACATGTCCCCTCCATGCCACAATCAGGTACTCGGGGATCATGGCCCGACATAGCATGGCGGCATACGGCCCCGGTTTTTGCATGCTTTCCCGCAGCATGCGTTCTCTCTGGGTGTCCGGGATCCTCAGGAGGGTGATGTCGCTCATGACGCCCTGCTTTGAATTAGGGAGGGGACTGTTAGTATTGGGACTTTTACAGCCACGCGGTGGAGGGAGAGGGGCAGCATACAGGGATCTTTCCCTGGGACAGCCGCGAGGGGGTGGGACAGGGGCAGAGTTGATGCTGTCCTGATTGCTGGCAGCAGAGACTGGCATTGCTTTCAATGTGAAAGGAGGCCAGTGCTACTGCTGGAGTTTTAAGCAGCCACAAGTCTCCGGCTTACCATTATTGCCCGCTCCAGAAGTTCAGGTCTCCAGCCACAGTTCTCTGAACACTCCAAGACCTCCGCAAGTCCACAGGCACTGAAGGCGACGGCCGAAAATTCGACCTTGTCCTGAGTGCGCATGTGAGAGGTTCAGTGCATGGTCTTGTTCACAGAGAAAGACTAGGTTCTTTGTATACAATTTCATTTATCTGTCTCAGGAATTCACTCCCTTTTTAAAATTCACACAGACACATCTGCGACTGTCTCCCAACCCAGCCTGTCAGCACACTCCCAGAGGCTAGCGCAGATTAGGCGGAGGAAGAAGAAGACGCGTGAAGACATGTTCACAGAACTAATGGGCTGCTCCCGAGCCCAGGCAGCCCAGCAGACACAGTGGAGGGAGAACTTGTCACAAATGCACCGAGCAGTCATGGAACGGGAGGAGAGGTGGCGTCAGGAGGACCAACAGGCTACTGAAAAGCTGCTTGGACTAATGAGGGAGCAAACGGACACGCTCCGGCGCCTTGTGGATGTTCTGCAAGACCGGAGGCAGGAGGACAGAGCCCCGCTGCAGTCTATCTGTAACCGCCCTCACCCGCCACCAAGTCCCACACCACCCTCACCCAAAGTCCAAAGAAGGAGGGGCGGCAAGGGCCGTTAAAACTTTCAATCAACCCCTGCAGACTGCTCTAGCAGTAGAAGGCTGACATTCCCCAAAATTTCATAAGTCCTTTCCTACCCACCTCACACAAGCCCCCGTCCAAGTTTCACCCCCCACGTTTCATGTCTGGTTCGCAATAAAATGTTTGTTTCTGTTCATTACTGTTTCAGTCAGGTTCTTTTGAGGGAGAGTCTGTCTGGAGGGGGGGAAGGGGCTTGGTAATTGGACAGGACAGTCACCTTTAGCAGGGTACAGAGGCGGTGTCAGGTCCAGCATCAGGACACATAACCAGTGCAGTCACTGGTTACCCTGGTCAGTCTGGGAGGTGCTTTTCATGTTTTGGGGGGGGGGGGGTTGCTCTGTGACTTTGTGGCGGGGGAGGGCAGTTACAGATCTTATGCAGCGGTCCTTATCCTGGCTCACAGATCCACGCAGCAGGGGATCTGTAACCCTACCCCCCCTGCCAGAAAGTCACATAGCCGACACATACACACAGTCCCCCCCAGGAGTGCTGGCAGGCTCCATTGAAATAACCAGTCCACCAGTGCGGAGCCTGTCATTCCGGGAGTTTAGAAGTATCATTTGCATCAGAACACTAAACCCGCCCCCCGCCACAGTCTGCGTCCCCGGTTTAAAATATTCCCGCGAAACAGCAATACAGACAACGGTGTTCATTAAAAAATCGAAATGATTTTATTTTTTGGGAAGGGGAAGGGGGTGAAGGTTGTATGTAACTGGAGAGGATAGTCAAAATGGACTGGGTAAAGAAACGGGGGCAGGTTCAGCTTTTCTGTCCACAAACTGAAAAGTCACTGGTTGCCCTGCTCACTCAGGAACCTAGCTTTCAAAGCCTCCCGGATGCACAGGGCGTCCCGCTGGGATCTTCTAATGGCCCGGCTGTCTGGCTGGACGTAATCAGCAGCCAGGCTATTTGCCTCTAGCTCCCACCCCGCCATAAAGGTCTCCCCCTTGCTCTCACACAGATTGTGGAGCACACAGCAAGCTGCAATAACGATGGGGATATTGGTTTCACTGAGATCACAGCGAGTGAGTAAGCTTCTCCATCTCCCTTTGAGACGGCCAAAAGCACACTCCACCACCATTCTGCACTTGCTCAGACGGTAGTTGAACAGTTCTTTTTCTGTGTCCAGGGCGCCAGTATAGGGCTTCATGAGCCAGGGCATTAGCGGGTAGGCTGGGTCCCCGAGGATGACTGTAGGCATCTCCACATCCCCAAGAGTTATTTTGTGGTCTGGGAAGTAAATACCTTCCTGCAGCCGTCTAAACAGACCAGAGTTCCTGAACACGCGAGCGTCATGAACCTTGCCCGGCCATCCGACGTAGATGTTTGTAAACCGTCCCCGATGGTCCACCAGTGCTTGCAGCACC